TTGAAAATTTAATCGTCTCATGTGTGCTTCATTGTAAATGCGTGCGAGTGTGTGTGTGTGTGTGTGTGTTATAAGAGGTTTACATTAAGTCGTGATTTGGTAGAAGAGTTGTACATTTTTTGGTATTTCAATTGTTTTTAAGAAGAACTAGATGCATAAACTAAAATTTATTGTGGATTTTACATAATCCCTACATGGTCAAAATTACACAAGGTTTAATTTGACTAGTATATAAAAAAACACATTTTGGTAAAACTAGAGAAGTTCTTTTAACTTGATGGCTTTCAGTTATGCTCATTAGTTTTCAACAGAGTTCAAGAAATGCGTATTAATGTGTATTTTGGGTCTGTTTGTACACCCTGTTCTAATTTCAAACGTCGGACTCTTAAAAAGAAGGAAGTTGGTTATCCTGTTAAAGAACCACTTTTTGCTCAGATCTGCTATTAAACAGAGGCTGCAGAAACTGTGGTTTTGGACCATTTGTCCCTCAGCGGGAAAACTGGGGCACGGGTTAGGCGTGGCGGCGCCGTCCTGCGGGGTGAACCCTGGATGCCCCCTTACGATCCACCGGCGAGAACCACGGACGTGACTCAACAAAATCAGAGACAAAAATGCTTGAAATAATAGAGTAGAGCTGAAGTTTTTTTTTTTTTTTTTTTTTTTTTACTTTTGTTTTGCAAATGACTTGATCAGTTTTTATTTATTTTATTGGATTTACAGCTATTTTGTAGATTAATTGTTGAGTTAGATTCTCTGCAGGCTCAACAGAATATTATCAATATTATCAGGATGTTTGTCACTTCTGTCTCGTTTCACATCATCAGCTGGGATAAAATGTGTCTGACCTTATCCCGCCCTCAAACACTTTGCTTTGTTTAATAAGAAAACTCCTCCCCACACCCGAGTCGACTCTTGGTGACTGTGAATGAACTCGCCCACAGTGAAGCAAGTTTATTATCGGCGTGGAGATAAATGCCAACCAAGGAGAAAGGTTCCTGCTCCCAGATCTGCAGCTGAAATCTGCAGCAGCCCATGTGGAAAAGCCGAAAAGTCTTCTGGACAAATGAGACTAGCTGCTTGGCCACAATCACGTAAAGTTGGTTTGGAGAAACTGTGACATATTTTCAATATGCCAATATGCTGTGGGCTCCTTTCACTGCTGGTGTTGAAACATGGATGCAACATCCAGGAAGAGCAATAATAGTTCTTTAAAAGTAAATAAAAGAACACTATATTAAAAACTACAAGACATTAAAACAATAATAGCAATATTTAAACATAAAAGAAAAACATGTTAAAATGTAAATTTAAGGCATTGCAATTACATAAACCATGATGAAAATGACTTATCAGCATTGGACCTTTATGGCTAACTTGCAGGAAAACAATATTTTCAGTTCTCATTTAAATTAACCACAAACAAAAACCGCATCAGAACTGGTTGTAAAAGCATTAAACACACTAAAATTCAATTCAGTTAATGGAAAATCCTCAATCCCAACCCAGAAAATCTCTACACTGCAAAAAAGAAAATCCAGAAAACCAAACAGTTTACATCTAACCTATCATTTTTGATGACTGGTCGCATTTCCAGGCAGAACTAAAGACATTTGTTCATGGCTACAATAAAGTTTGTGGTTTCTATGCACCTTAATTACTACCATATGTATAAATGTATAGATGTAAACCCACAATGACACAACTTGTGTGTTGAGTTATTGTTTTGAAATCCCTTAAGTAGCTTATATTCCATCATCAAACAGAGCACTTAAAATGAGTCATTAAAAAAAGAGAATGACACTGCCGATGAGGGCAAAACTTTATTTGACAGGGTGTGCATAAGACACTGTCATAAACATGACATAACACCTGTTAACATGAAGGAGTCTTCATGAATGCTTAAGACTGTTTACTTTCGGTAAATAATGACGCTTTTAATGCAAATTTGCATGAAAGGTTGCATTAAAAGTCTATCAAAAGGTGTCAAACTTAGCATTATTTGGTAAACAGTGACTGTTTTTATGCAACGTCCCATTAAAACTTAGTCAGTTAAAAAGAGTCGACTTTGCATTACTTATTTACCGAACGACTTGAATGTCATGTTTTATGACAGTGTCGTGTCATAAAACATGACACGACACTTACGCACATCCCTTCAAATAAAGCGCCACCATGATGGGTGTATGCAGACTTCTGATCCCCTCTGCCGCGCCTGCAGCATCGTGACTCGGAGGGCCGGTCAGGGTTTCTCGGCCACGTCGCTCCTGCTGATTAATGAGCCCCGGGCCCCGACACCGGCCCTCCCTGACAGGCAGCCATTCTGAACGCCTAATGCGACCGTCCCCCCCCCACTCACTAAACAACCACTTAACTGGTGCACCACCAACAGAGCCCATTATTTCTACTCCGTGGCAGATCGTCCAGATAATTCAATGATCATAACCGGAGGGATAACGACATGACATGAGGGATAAGATGGCTCCTGCTGGCTCCAGCTAGCGCTCTGGTTGGACTTTGGATTTGACTAATGGGCTGCAGGAAGCGTGACAAGTAAACATTTAGGCTGCGGCGTTTTGAAGGTATGTGTCTGAACACACCATCCCTCCTGTGGTCGCTCGGCGGCTCGTCATAAACTTGTTCCGACCCGCCTGGCTTTTGTTGAGAGCAGCGCGCTGCTCCCGACACAATCCGGTTGTTATTCTGAATGTGAAGCTGGGGGATGACTCTGCTGTTCCAGTCAGGGATGAGTTAGTTTCCTTATAAGATCAAATAAACTCTTATAAGGAAACTAACTCCTTATAAGAGGAGTTAGTTTCCTCTTATGGGTGGGCTTTTATCGTAATCATTTACTGTGAAAAACTTCTTATCCTAATAATAATTTGAATTTATTATCTCATTAAATTTCAATTGACGATGTTAAAAAAATCGACAATAATATCAGTATTATCGAAAACTGTTTTTTTTTTTAATTTCTCCACTTTTTGTTCCACAAGAGCATCTGCAAGTATCAGTATATTTGAAAATATCACTAAAACACAGCTACTGTTTGCAATGTAGTGGTATAAATAACACATACTGAAGCATTTTCACCCTGAAAAAGCCCATTTCAAATGGGAACGTTTCTCAAGACACTTTATTTGTGTTTGTGTTGCTACGAATGTCGTGCCATGCACTCGTAGGCATATGGTTACCTAAAAAAAAGGAAGAATAAATAGTTTTTAATCGCCATTCTTATTGGTAGCAAAATAGTACCGCAAAAATACTGCGATAAAATTCTCACTCCATATTACCGACCATATTTTTTGCATCCCTTTCTTTTTTGAAAGTGTCAAAGTTGTTTTTCTGTTATCGCAGCTGCTGCCAATCGGTTAAAAAGAACTGACGCACTACAGAGGAAGAAACGCAAGCCCAAATCATGACGCTTCCTCCCTTTGGTGTCACTTGTGTGCTTGAGTTTGCGCAGATCGGGTCTTTCTCCAAGCTTTCCGTGACTTTAGTAAAGGTTCATCGCATCCATAAAACTTCTGCCGCTTCATTTCTGAGCCTCGCCTCTGTACTTTTTGGATAATTACACTCTGGCCTTCATGTTCTTCTTGCTAATTAGTGGTGCGCTTCTCCTGGTGTGGCCCAGCAGATTGTGACATCTTCACCCCCTGACCTCCGGAGGTTGCTGCAGATGTCACAAACAGATGTTTTTTTTTGTTTTTTTTTTTTTTTTTTTTTTCAAGCTCTCACAATGTTTCTGCTGTTTCCTGCTGCTTGGATCTCTCCTTCTCATGTCTCTCCATCTGTGGTTTCTCTTTTTTTCTTCAGGACATTCAGTTGCCTGTCCCCCCCCCCCATGACACATCCAAATATAAATGCAATCTGAACAGGCACAACCCAACAGTGAGTAGACATTAAGGATGATTTATTGTTTGAATGATCGGTGGAAAATGACACACCTGGAGCATCAACAAATACCTGCCAGTCACGTGTTCTCGGTTCCTTTTCTAATAACGTCGTCGTCTGAGCTGTGAGTCTGAAAATAAGAGTTAAATCTCTTAGTTCATAATTGTCAAATGTTTTTTTTTTTTTTTTTTTGTCTGCGGCAAATTTTAAAAAGCTGACCTCTTTGGTTTAATGATTTGGTTTAATAATTTGTAATATTTTTTTTTAAAGTTTAGGAAACTTAAAATTCTTAAGGTTTCATGCATGTTACATAGTGAAAGCTGCCACAAGCTGTCAAGGAGCAACTGGTCAACATTTAACAAAGTTGCGTGCAAGGGAAATTTTGAAGGTTGCCATGGTTTCTCCAGGTACCTTGGTGGAACATTTCCCAGAGTCTTTCTTGGCACAGCTGGGAACATTTCACTTCTCTTCATGTCACATTGTGAAGGTTGCTCAAGATTTTCAGGAACAGTCACCAAAATTCTACCGTTAGTCAATCCCAAAGTGAAGGTTTGCAACAAACCTTCAGAAAGATTTCCTAATCGCCACCTCGTAAAACCTGCTCCACACTTTGAGGTCCTACAAAGAAAATACAAGAAGTTACAGCTCATACCTTTAGGAGGCATTCCCTCAATCTTTTCTGAGGATGACATTGTAAAAGCTGCAACCTTTTCGCACAGCAGCCTTTAGGGGGTAGCTCTGAAGAAGCTATCCTCCAGGTAACTAAAGAGGAAAAAATCTCCTGAAGGGTTCCCAGAAGGTCAAAACGTAAAGGTAGCAAACAATCTTCCCCCTGCCTCAGGAAGCTGAGGAAATCAATTAAGAACTTTAAAAATGTGATTGCAGTGAATATGGTGAAGTGAAACTAAAACGGGCGTGTGTAGCAGGTGAACTAAGGAGTGGTTTATCGTTCAGTTGATCAGGAGCAGCAGCGGAGCCACAAGCTGGCGATAGAAAACGTTATCTCGGATCAGGTGGCTATTGTTACACAGGTGTGACATCACGGCGACTCGACCAATCACGGCGGCTGACCGTTAAAGGTGTGGAAAAGCAACACAAAAGACACGGCGCAGTCTGGGCGGCTGTTTGAACTAGTCGTCTTCTCCCATGCGTGGTGTTGAGTTTCTATATTTAAAGTCTGCTTGTGTTTTAAACCAGCTGCAGGGGGCATCATTGGCTTTGCCCGCGGAGGTTCCCTAATCTCTTCTTGAGCACACACACACGGGCTGTACACCCCCCCTCCTCCTGCCAAACTCCAAGGCCGGGCAGCGTCGCCATACGGAACATCCTGCACTCAGCGGAGAGGGGGAGGAGAGAGGGTGCCTGAGCTGAGAGAGAAACGCACACTCTCACAGTAAGAGAGACGGGTCTGGCTTCTCCCCTGGCTCTTAAATTATCAGCTCCGTGCACCAGAAATTTGGACCGATTCGCCCCGCGGAGACGAGCAGAGAGGAGGCCGTCTGTTGCCTCGCCGGAGACCGGGACCAGCGGGATTAAAGAGCCGGACCAGGAGGACTGATGGTCGCGCAGACGCTCTGAAGTTGGACAGACTACACCGAGGTTCCCAGGAGCAAAAACAGCAGGAGCAGCAGCAGCAGCAGCAGTCTTCGCGCTCTCTCTTTCCTCTCCCCCCACCCCTTCTCCACCTCCCCGAACCCTCCCCTGGAAGGCAGCGGCGGCACCGGGAGGCTGTGCCCGCAGAAACACCGACCATGAAGCTGCCTTGGCTGCTTGCGCTCGCCGCGCTGCTCGCTCACGCCGCCACGGTAAGCCGGAGCCTCGGCTCCTTTGTTAACCTCATGCGCGTGTGTTCGCGTATGTGTGTGTTCGCGTATATATGTGTGTGTGTATGTATGTGTGTGTGTGCCATCAGTAACGAGACAGCGGTGATCGGTAGGAAATCCTGCACTCGACCTACATATTGGCAGCGCGCGGCTCCACCGTACCCCACCCCCCGCATTTACGCACTCACCCACACCAGCCTTTGTGTCTCAGTGTCGGGGTTTATTGCGGCTTGTGTTCCCTTTGGCTCCGGAGGGGTGTGCGTACGTGTGTGTGTGTCGGTAATTAGCGGGTTATCTCTAATTGGGGCTGATTACTGGTGTGGTGTGCTGTCTGGGTCTCCAGCTCGCATCCTGCTGTTAATTTAGAGGGGGCTCCAGTCATACTGCGGCTCTGACCACTTTATTCCCGTGAAGTCGCGCCGTGGGACGGGGAGTGTGAGGAAGTGGGGGTGGGTGAGAGGGTGAGTGCACATCCGGAAGCCAGAACCCGGAGAGGGGGCCACCCTCCCGTTGTGACCGTGTACTTGTGGAACATGGAGTGGGTGGGTGGGGTAACGGGGTAAGAACTTATCTGCGATGCGGCGCGCGAACCGGAGCTTGGATGGAATGATGTCATCGGGAACCGCGAGGACGGCAGCTGATTGGGGATGCACGAGCCCCGCCGCCGCCACTACTTCCTCCTCCTATTCCTCCTCCTCTTTTTCCTCCTTCTCCTTCTTCTTCTTCTCCTCTCCGGAGCCATCCTCGCCGAGCTTCACGCGCACCCCCTCACACACCTTTCGTCACCGATTAATCCAGATATATCCCACGAGCAGAAGGAGGTGGTGGGGGCAGAGGAGCGAGCTGAATCATTGAGAGAAAAGGAAACAGCGGCTAAAAATAATCGAAGCGCAGAGATATTTTGGAACGTGAAAAGCCTAGGAATACTTTTCATAGACTATAGCTGTGCGTTTCCTGGCTCACCAGTTATTCTGGATGTTTGTCTTCTGTATTTATAACTTCATTCATGCCTGCAGCAGCTCTGAGGGGCCCCTCCACACGCACCTCTAAGCAGTGGCGGTTCATTAATTAAGGGCCCCGGGTGTGTGGTCCCCCCTTCTTCCCAAGAGGGGAAAAAAAAGGCCACATCTATAGCAGTGTATATATATATATATATATATATATATATATATATATATATAAACAACGTATTTCCACTCTTCTCATTGGCTAACGTTGAATCAGACTAAACTTTTTCTGTTTTTATATTCGCCAGGTTAAAATAACGGGATAAATATTTCTCTATAAATGTTAAAATAATTTATAAATACATCAGTTTTTCTTTTTTTCGAGGGCTATTTTTAAGCATTCAGGTTATTTAGCTTATTTGGTGCCGGTGGTAATGCAGGTCGGCTGCAGACCTTGAAGTTCCTGCCTGGCTCAAACCCGCTTTCTCCCCCACAATCGGGGATGTTGCATCTGAGAGCAACTCAGCTGCCAAGTCCGTGCGCACGCAGCTATCGAGCAGGAGAAGCTGCTGTTCTGCGGCAGCTTCTTGGTAGGAAGCGCCAAAAGAACACCACAAAGTATTCCTTGCTTGTTTATTTCTTGAGTTCGAAAAGGAGCCTTCTTCCATGCAACCTTCAGTACCAACCATACATCAATTCATTCATTTTTGTATTCACTTTGAGAACACTTAATTTAAAGTGTTCCTCTGCATTCAATTTAAAATTTACTGTAAGGAAATATGGTTAAAGTTGGCCTGATCAGAGGTGCCGTTGTGTCGTGTTTCTTGAGATTCATCTTCCCCACTATGAAAAGAAATGGGTTACAATGCGAAGTCGTTTTGCATTGTGATGAGTATGCAAAAATTCATTGACAATTTGTTATTCAAATGCCATAAACATTCACACATGTTCACCTGGGCTACGGTTTCCTACAACGGAGTTCCAGCGTAAAGTCTTTAGGTGGCTGCTAAATGTAACATTTGCCAACATAAACTCGGGGTTTTACAATTTCACGTGGAAAATGTGAGTTTTTCAAAGTTACTATGTTTTCAAAGAACTTGACCAATTGCTATCAAAATAGCAGCCAAATCGATCACCTGACTGATCAATCTATCTGGTTTATCCCTTCCCAGTCCTCATCCATTACTTTATTAGAAGCAACGACAATGTTGAAGCTTTATTCATCACTTTCTGGTCTAACTTTTCAACACTACAAACACAGATAACTTCTAGGTCAGTCGGCTGTAATCTTTGCCAAAGGTCCTTGGCGTCCTGCCGACTTAATCTGCCTTTAGGTGAGCAGATGGAGGCAGGTGTGACACACATCCGCACTCCGACTGACACACTCTGAGTTAGGAGTGTGCAGATAGGTGCAGGTGCTGCTCTAATGGGTGACTTACGTACATGTCAACGGTCTGATATTTACAGGGCTCACCTGGAGTAACCCTGGCCTTCAACGCAGACCCACACTCACACACGCACACACACACTGGCTTTTATCACGTGCATTCGCTGACAGGATCGTTCTCCCAGGGCCTCCTGGCTCTGAACCAGCTGACTCTGTGTGTGGATGTCTCCTGAGTGATGTCTCTGTGGGTATTTCCTGTTATCCAACTATTTACATCACATCCGGGATACTGTGATTTGCATGGGAGGCCGATTTCTTTTCTTTTTTTTTTTTCCCACAGACATCTGTGTCCCACGGATGGCCATTATATTTATGTGTCCGCGAATCCGTTTGCCGTCATGAGAGCCGCGACTGTCCATCTGTCTGTGTTTGTGCATGTGTTTGTGTTTGTGTGTGTGTGTGTGTGGGCTCAGAAGTAGTGAATATCCACTGCCAAAATCTTGTTCTCGCCAGCCCTCTCCCTCCTCGACAAGTGCGCGCTATGGTGTGTTGCTGAGGATCATGTTTAACTCGCCGAATGAATCAGTGGTTTGTGCCTCCGATAGCCAGACAAAGCCCCCCATAGAGAGATGAAGAAACAGAGAAGGATGAAGAAAGGAGGGGAAAAAATAGCCAGAGCGAGGCGGACTGAGGGAGAGTGTGGAATGTGAGAGGCAATTTGACGCAGGAAGTGGGTCCTTCTCGCTTTCCTGAAGCACAAAGTTCCCTCACACACATGTACACACACATGTAAACATAGTTGGAGGTACAAATGCAGCTTGGGTGAAGGCGGTGTCTCAGGTGCTTGTGTATGAAAGGGGCTTGATTTTCAGTGGGTACAGGAAATGAAAAGGATCATGGTTCATATCCGGAGCCGGATTTGGAGTGGGCCGTCGTTTGCAGGTTTCGCATGGACCCAGCGGCGTAAATAACTCTCCACTCTCCGCCTGTTTTCCTCCCTTTGGCTGTTTACATCTAGGGATGGGCACAGAGACGAGACAGCAGTCCTTGATCAGGCGGGACGGAGCGGCATTTGATTAAAATGAGTTTTTCTCGCCTCTCGGACGTGGTTTGGTGGTACATTGGCTGGAGGATTTAAAAATATTAAAGCCCCGACAACTATAGGCTTCAATATACTTTATTAGAATTGCATGTGGGATACCAACACAAAGTAGTTTGTAATTGTAAAATGAATGAAAAATGCAATTCTCTTTTTTTGTTGTTTTATTTTTCAAATTGGAATCAGAAAAGTGGGATGTTCATGTGTCTAAAGGGAGTGTGGAACCACAGTTCTCTTACAGCTGCACATCTAGAGGCTGCACATTGTTTTTTTTTGCAAAATAACACAGGTTCAATCAGACTGAATTGAGTCTCAAGCCTAGACTTTGACTAGGACATTATAAAACATGCATATGTTGTCCAGTGTTTCCCCCAGAAGACCTGCTGAACCCGGTGCTCAGGAAGCTAAGTCAGTCATCCAGCCACCTGCAGAGTTTTTGAGTTAAAAATTTTTTTAAAGTTGGCGGATAATTTGAAAATATCATTTGATAGTTATGGATTTTTGGAAGACTTGGAGATTAATACCTAAACACCAACTATAAAGTCTTTAAAAAAAGGCAATCATTAAAAAAAACCCTAATAAATTAACAATGCTAAGCCTGGTGGGGGCACAAGTAAAGCCTGGTGGCCCGCCAGGCTTATAATACCCAGAGGGAAACCCTGTTGTCCTACTGTAAGGTAAATGTTAACCCCAGGTTTCAAACCTTGCTCTGTCCATTCAATCAGAGCTAAACACCATTGAAACGGTGTGTTTTTTATTAGTTAAAAAAAAAAAAAACCCACACCGCTTCCCTTCAGCTTCACAGTTATGCACAACTTTGTTTTGGTCTATCAAATATGATCCTGATGGAATAATCAAGGTTTGTGAATACTTGGCAATGTACGTTAGAGCTGTCTGTAACAAAGCTGTTAATTGCTGAGAGAGCAATGTGTCTGCCGCACAGCAGGTGTTTCCACATGCAACAGCAGAAAAACGCACAGGTTGAGTAATGATGGCTGCGGCTCACATGGGAGAGGTCCCACCGCTGTTCGACTCGCTGCTTTACAGGGGAAGCTGAAGGAAAGCGACTCGCTGGGTTGTGAAGTTTGCCTGGATTGTTGTTGCTGCTACGACGAGTCAAAATGTCTGCAGTGAAAAACTGGAGCTGTTAATCTGCTGCCAAGTCTGGAGTTTTACTTTTTAATGAAAATTGTTGTATACAAGACTCGAGAGAGAGAGCCTAAAAGAGCCTGCAGTAATCCCAGAGCCGTGCCTACCCTCCTGCTGTATGTCTGTGTGACTGCACACCCAGTAATTTAGATCCCACATCTGACCGGTTCTCATTTCACCACATCGTTTCTCTTCCCGACTGTAAACGGTTCATGTTTTTAGCTAAGGGAGTAAAAATCACTTTCTTCCTCTCTTTTATGTAAATTTAGACTGTTGCCCTTTAGCAAACACAGGATTGGATTGGATTGAGTTCTGAGTGCTTCCACAAAGTCCAGGTGAAAGTCACAGATTTATCAATAATTAACCCAGAGATGCAAAGTGTAATTTAATCTTTCATGTC